GCCGCCGCCTTAATGGCCTCATCCTCCAACCTGGAAAATTCGTACATCGCCAGAAATCCCTCTGCCTGGCTCCCCAGCCTCGGAGAAATCAGAAGTCATTAATATTTGAGGAGGCAATAATTTTCCTGTTGAATCTAGAACTGTCTTCATGAATAATTCCTAGCGAGTTTTATTAGGGTTTCAGAAACGTTGCGGTTTTGACAACTTCTGGGTGTTTAATAGAAACGGTGGAACCATAAAGGCCCTGCAGGAGTTTTCACAATACAGCAATTAATCACCGGGAAAGTTAAAGCGAAAAGTACAGACGCGCGGAATGATGCTTAATAAACGCAAACCTCCGATCTCGGGTTTGCCCTGAACCTGCCTCGCCGATGTAGGTCAGTTTTCCCAAGAATTTAACCATTTTCTGCTTCAGAGACTTCAAACAGTGAGGCCGTTAAAGAGCAGTAAAAGTTTGTTTACTTAAGGAAAACACTGTCATTAAAGGATGAGCTCTCCCGGTTAATGGCTGTACCTGCGCTGATCCGACGAGGAGCTGGCTCGGGTACAAGTTATGTGACCCGGGGACCCTCCTTTCGCCTCGAAAAAAGGGGCCGGGAAGGCAGCAGAGAAACACAACTTTGCTGTCGCCCGGCCCCCCCCCCCCCCGCACACAGCCGAGCTATTCATAGAGCGATGGAAAAATAATTAGGTGACGAGTGACGGTCGCTGTAAAATCTCTGTGCTATGTTTAGGCGATGGCGGTACGAAATTAGTATACGTTCTGCGTATTATAGCACGTCGAGTTATATCGTAAAAATGCAACTCCTGGAAGGTCAAGCCCTGCACAGAACATGGGGGAAGGGGAGTTTTATGAACTGGGAAGCCGAAAAAAATCGTTTGGCTGTAAGCAGATCTTACAATAGGATTATGTGGTTTCCCTCGCAGTGCATAAGGCTGTACAGGAGGGGGTGGGAGGTGGAAAACCCTACACTGGAACAGATTAAATTTTCCGAAAAGGGTTTATTTCTTATCTTCTTCTTCAGAGAAAAAAAAAAAAAAAGGAGAAAGAGAAAAAAAAAAAAAAAGCCGGCACTACAGCTACAAACACCGGCTGCTAAACTAATTAATACAACTTCACAAGCTGCTCCTGGAAGTGCGAAAACTTTCTACGTGCAATTTCATTAATTATAAACGCTTTCCTGGCCGGAAGAGTTCAAACGTAGTTTTACAAGATCGTCCATCGCGTTACTTTATTTTCTGTTAACTAGAACTAACAGATGTCCCCATTTCGCATAACAGATCTGCAAATGACGTTTCAAAATGTACAGGCCGAAACAATACCGGGGTTTCTTCTCCTTTTTTTTTTTTTTTCCCCCCTCCCGAGAATCAGAACTTGCAGCTCCCCATATTTCCGAATGCGGAGAGTCGTTGGGAGGCAATGCTCATTAAAAATGTCAGTGTAATTCAGATCAAACATTTGAAACTCCCTCTGCCCAAAACAAAACTGTTGAACGAAAAGGTCGCAGCTGTGTTATTCTCACAATGTTCGAGCAGCAGCATCTCAGCGACATCAGTCAAAACTGACTAGACAAGTTGTAACTTCTATTGTTCACTTTTAATTTGTGAGCTTGCACAATGATTTCATTTTTTTCTCCAACTACTTTAAACTGCCAAAAAAAAAAATTTCATCGCCTGTGTGAATAAGCAGAAATAGTAGCTATAGCACTCCATATTTACAGACCTCTACCCGCATAAACATTACAGCAGCCTCTCCGCACAATCAGAAAAAAATATGGACGAGAATTCTGAGATTTGTTCTCACTCTCCTTTTTTCCCCCCCTTTCCACCCCCCTCCCAACGGTAAAGAAGTAAACAAATCTGAGAATTTATTTTCCAGAAGGACTTGGCGTGCATTCAATAACAACGCAAAGGATACATTTAAAACAAAATAAAGCAAAACAGTATGCTGAATAACAGAGAGAGAGAGTAAAGAGAGCTTTACATACTGACCTGTATGAGTTCTTTTGTGTATTTTGAGATTCTCTGATCTGGCAAACACTTTGCCACAGCCTGGGAAAGGGCAGGGGAAAGGTTTTTCACCTGTGTGGACTCTGATGTGATTTACAAGTTTATATTTGGCCTTGAAAGGTTTCCCTTCTCTTGGACACTCTTCCCAGAAACAAATGTGATTGGACTGCTCGGGTCCTCCAACGTGCTCCACCGTGACATGAGTCACCAGCTCGTGCATCGTGCTGAAAGTTTTCGAGCATAATTTTTTGGGAGTCTGGTCCAACTCAATCCACTTACAGATGAGTTCCTGTTTGATGGGCTGCCGCATGTAACGAAAGAAGGCACCCGGGCCGTGGTGTGGAGCCAGGTTCACATTCAGATTCATGCCACCGTAGCTATGAAGCGAAGAAGCAGCAAAAGGATCTGTCCTGGAGGCTGGCACTTGAGTGAAATGTTCAGACCTGGCGTACATTTCTCCAGGTAACCCCAGTCTTATCTGTCCGTTTAGATGGCCACCTGGAGCTGCATGGGGAGGCTGCTCATGGAGTCCAGTGAACAGAGAGGGATTCCCAGCTTCTGAGTGGTGGTGGTGGTGACCATGGTGTCCAGGGTAGCTACCTGTTGTTGAGACAAACAGTCCGTGGTGAGAACTTGCAGTGGGGTGCTGCTCGGTCAGCCCTGGCATGAGTGGGGCCGGCAGGTCTCTGCGTATGAAGAAGTCCCTACCTGCTGCCAGAGCCTGGGCTGGGTGAGAGACGGGGTAAGGGGCTGCTGGTGACTACGCTGGGCCAAACGCTCCCGTTTGACCAGAGACCACCTCGGCTTGGCCTGCCATATGATGATGATGATGATGATGATGATGGTGGTGGTGGAGCTGGTGGTGGGGATGAGGGGCAGGGCTGAGCTTAAGAGCCGCGGGGTGATGCTGAGGAGGAGGATGGTGGCGGTGCCCCATGTGTTCTGGCCGGAGCGGGTGCGGCTCGAGG